CTTCAAGCGGAGTGGACAGACGTTTTCTAGCAGCACTGTTTTCTTCTGTCCCAGCAAGCCAGAATTTAGCATTAAACCTTCTATTTCTAAACCTGCCTGCAATGACCAGCAGGGCTTTAAAAGACCCTGGATAATCTTACTTTTATTTTACTTTGTTCTGTGTTTGACCATACTTACTTTTATGATCACACAGAGGCTAGATATGAAGGCACAAGAAGCCTGCTCAGCCACCAGTAACTTTATGGGAAGGATTTTACACTTCAGGGTTTCAGCTCTGTTCTCTGCACAGGATGACTTCACAACTGTCAGAATAACAGGTGCTTCTTTAATTTTAGCAGTCTTTGACCTGATTACAATTGATGGCTGGAATTTATATCTCATGGTGAACTATTTGCTAGTTTATGTGTGTCATAGACTTATTCAAGACTTGAATAAGTCTTATGGTCTGAGTGAGAAAAGGGTCTAATTCCCTAGATTTCTAGCCTTGTGTAGCTACTCCTAATGATAAGGCTGGTTGTAAAAACCACTGCCTAGGCACAGATTAAGCAGTGTCTGTGTGATTTGCCAAAGTGGAACCATTTCTTTGCTTAAGAGTAGATCACTGTCTAATAAAGCTACAGCTGCACCTGCATTTCAAGATAAACATGTCTGCTTTATTTCTAGGTAATAGCTCAGCAAGTTTCAGAGGAGAATTTACAGGAAGGTCGTCTGTACCCTCCGTTAGTCACTATTCAGCACGTGTCACTGAAAATTGCTGTGAAGGTAAGTCATTTCAGTCTTTTGTGGCTTCTTTTCTTCTCATGCTCTCTACATAATCGAGCATTTGATTTGATCAACTAACACATCTTCATATAAGTTGAAGTTGGTTTATGTCAATCCATCTTGGACAAGTAGCAGTTTCAAAATTAAATCCCGAAATGTAAATATAGTGCAAACACAAGAAGGAAAGATACAGAACGATAGCAGGTGTTTATGTCTGTAGAGCCCAAACTGTACTGTCCACCAGTTAGGAGCTGGTCCCCAGGCTTACAGTCACGCGAGCTGCACAGCTGAAGGTTTTTGGCCCTTTGTGATTATCAGTTGCCTGTCAAGAGAGAAAATGACACTCTGTGTCCAGGCAGGGTTTGTGGAATATTTTATCCACCGCTGCACAATAAAAGCTAAGATACTACTGGATGAGGAGGAGCTTTGTAACAGCAAAGACATGTAATCCCGTTCAAAAGTAGCATGTCAGACTCACTTAAATGCAAACATCATCCTGTTTCCTAGTCTTATTCGCTTATCCCGGATCCAGTATACTTATAGGTAACTGTCAGCACCGCAGAAGATGATGTAAGGCTTTACACTGATTTTGAACTTCTGTTTTTAAAACCTGTTAAATGTACTCAAATAGTTTATCAGCACTAATTAGGATTTTAATGCATCCTTCTAGATTGCAGAAGAAGCCTACAGGAATAACACTGCCTCCACCTATCCTCAGCCCAAGGACCTAGAAGCCTTCATCCGCTCTCAGGTTTACAGTACTGATTATAACAGGTTTGTGGCTGACTCCTATACCTGGCCTGAAGAAGCCATGAAAGTGAAACTGTAAATATTTAATGAAGAATGAACAAACTAGCAGGAGTTAAAAAGCATTAAAATATTCAGAATGCTTCTGCCTAGGAAGCCTAAGGATAGCTAATTTTTTAAGATGCAGAAAACTTTTTCTAAATTGTAATACATGGTTAGAAACCCAGATTAAGAAATCATATTAATTATACACCAGAAAATAAAAATTAATCTGAGAAATAAATTTGTGCTGTTTGGTTACTTTGATTGTTATTTTACTTAAGATACACTACACTATAGTTTTAGAGATCTTTTTGTTATCAAAATAAAGAGTTGTACCTTGAGTTGAGAGCTTTGTCACAAATATCAGTGAGAACTTCAGTAGACAGATGGTACCATGGAAAATTAAGAAATGCATATGATGACTTTAATCCATTACAGGTCACAATGTAATTTGCATAAATTGTCAAGCTGTTACTTAAAACAAAACAAAACAAAAAGAACAGTAAGTTTAGAATATTTTCCTCCGAAGAAAAGTCTGTGTAGGGTAATGAAAATTTTCTAACGAGAACTGAACCTGCAGAACCTTTTGTTCACATCTAATTAGAGTATTTTAATGTTGCTTAGCTAAGCTGAAGTCTTGTAAATTATTAAAGATTTCATTCCCCCAGCAAGATAACTGCTGTTTTGATATGCTGTAATTGTTTGGCCTAAAGTTCATGGAAGCGCTTGGACTCCATGTTCTTGACAAAAGGAGAGTATTAAAATGCTATGAATAGGCTTCTTTTTGACTAAGCATTTTCTTACAAACATCAGTTATCTGGCTAGTAGTAGGTTTTTTTATATAGTAAACTTAATGAATTCCTGTAGTATTTCAGGCCAATGTATTTTTAAACACACGTCATATGTAATAAAAGTATTATTCTTGTAACAAACTTCAAATCACCCAGCTGAGGTCTGCTAGATGAATAACCATTATGGGGAAAAGAGTGTGTAACTATGGGGGGAACAAACACCTTTTATTAATTCCTTGATATTTAGTGAATATTTCTCTCACTTGCTACTATTTGAATGATCTGGTTAGCTCAATTTCTTCAGTAAGGTCTTTAAAACAGTTTTTACAACTTCATTGATAATTCAGCATGCTGTGTTCATCTACACACGAATTTCAGCTCAAGAGATCTTAACTTTTTTTACCCTTTTTCATCTGTCAACCAGTAATCAAAAGCGATACTTGGCAGTGACCCTTACTCTTCTGCAAAAAAAGTGATTCCCTCTGCAAACTGCAATGGAAGCATCAAGGGACACTGCTTGTGACCTGCATTATTCTGGATTCATAATTAGTATTTCCAGAAATAAAAATCATGAGTCTGTGGTTTCCCGTAGGATACATGATTAGATTGTACTATAAGCAGTTTCCTCCTTTAGAAAAAATGACCGAACAAAGCTTGTGCTCAGAATAAAGCTTTAGACAGCTCTAGCTCCAAATTGTTTGGCCACCCTCCAGCACAGACTTTCTAACCTATGCCAGTCTTGCCTTTCCCATTTCCTTGTGGTTGGAATCTCGTGGATAAGGCCTATTTCTAAACCAGTTTGTTTTGCTACTTACAATGAGACTGAATGCAAATTGGTTTATTGGTTTTCAGTCATGGTCATGTGGAATCTGCATTGATACATCAATGTTCCAAAAAACCCCAAAGAATTATTAGTTGTTACAGAATTACCACTCTGAGAAAAATGTAATATACTTTCTCGACAATTCTGGAAACAAAGTGTACATGAACACTTTTTTCTGCTATCATGCTATAATTAAAAATTAACTTCATTTGTCCAGCCCTTCAGCTCTGCCACAGCTGCAGACTGCAGGTGCTGAATTCACAAAGAGGAGAGGCACTTCCTTCCTCATTGCATAATGGGAACCTGTGAACATTTTTTGCCTTATTGTGCTTTTGGCCAAAGTTATGATCATACCTGCAATGTACTTACCACAGCAAAGGAATGTACGTGAATCATCGTTCTGTGCAACCAGAAATACTGCCATCCTTTGTATTTCAATATATTTGCTATTATGAGAAAATTATTAAAACACTTCCTTGCATTTTATTTGAAAGAAAAAAGTATGTTTTTTTTTTTAGTCTTCAACAGAGCGTACTGAAACACGGTCTTTAAATGGCTGCTGTCCAAATGGCCTGGGTTTTAGATTTGAAGAGCCAAACCTCTACAGCTCAAGAGTAAGCCTGCTTTTATTGCTCAGTACCAGTTTTCACATTGTGGTGCTCAGTGACAAAGTGGAAGGTGGTAAGCTGGTAATTCTGTAAGGCACATCTACTTGGGACTTTTCAGTAGCATTCTTCATCTACATATTGATGACATTTAAATATGATAATCCATTATAAATTGGAACACTGAATTGCAATTCACTGTCTACCTACACACTCAGCACACTAGCCCATACGAAAGTGCTTCCTAATGAGCCATTAATGTAATTTCCTGTTACAAGCTACTGGAAAATTGTCTCTCAGTACTAATTTGACATAGAAAATATCATTAAAGTTATATGCATTTTTATTTAATTTATGATATAGTTTTTTCATTTTTCTACATTTTACATGTATTTCTTTATGTAATGTAGGGAGAAAACAGAGGAAACAACTCTCTCATCTTACACATTCTTATTACCAAGGTGCTTGGCCTAACTATATATATATATAAAATGCTATGAGTTGAGCAGCTAAAAAATATTAATACAACCAGACCGTAACGAGATGATAGGAAGAGGATTGCAACAATGGTGGTATTAGCAAGGTAATTTTATAGGTACTACTCAAAGCATACATGGGACAGGTGATGTGGGCATCTTTCTTTTTCCCCTCCCCACCACCCTTTATTTAAAAGCAAAACTTGATCCTGTGGTTGGACACAAGCCTCTGCATTTGATGGATTAGTTGAATGAAGAGCGAGCAGATGCTTTGTGAAGCAGTAAAAGACATTGCATGCACTAATCCATGACTGTAGCATTGAGACTTCCTTGACCTGGGTGTGCTTTTGTATCGGAAATCATGTTAATCTGTGACTGCAGCCACTTTGGTATCCCACAACTATGCGTAGAAGTTAACTGCAGGTCTGCACCACAACTTAGTGACACATAGCACGGTATAGATGAGGAGACAGAACTGTGTAATTCAGGATACTAGAGTGTGGGATGTTTATCACCCTGCAGGCACTTTGAGGCGTGGCTCATAGTGACAAACACCACTTACAGGGTCTCAGAAAACAAGTAAACACCTCTCAAAAATATGTGGCAATTCAAAACAGAAGCTAAGATTAACTCCATGAACCATTCTTCTCGTATGTGAAACAGTTTCCGTTTTCACAGTAGCTCTAAGGCACAATATTTCAATGTTAGTATCATCTCTTGCTGTCCAAAATTAGAACTCCTTACACAGCTTCTCTTATTTGTCTGAAAGTTTGCCTTCGATACCAAATAAAATCTGAAAAATATGTCCACTTTGATGTTGTTTCAGGAATTCTAGGAACTGGCCAAGATCCATGTGATAGTCGTTCCTCAGGCCATAATCACCATGTGCCTGAAACTGCAGGTCTTCAAAAGAACAAAAGAGACGGAGATGGTTGATGCTTCCCTCTGTTTCTATATTCTCCACATGCTTGCATGAAATATGCTTCCAGTTGGGATACCTAATAACATGCCAAAATTCTTCACAGTTTTCCCTGAGTCCCTCCACACAGATGACACCAGGTTTCCCTGTTAGGCAGAAGCCAGTCAGATTTAACTTCTTTGCACAGTCAAAAATCTTTTTCTTCAGTTCCTGCCTATATATGTGATGGCTGTAGATCCACATGCGATGCAATGTTTCTTTAACTACAAATTCTTTTGAAGCACTTTCAGAAGAGATCTTACTGTTTTCCAAGTAAGGCAGGCTGTTTTCTTTCACCCATTGCACAGCTTCATATATATGCAGTTCACCTGAGTCTAAAGAGCTGATGTAAGAAGTGAGACCAGTGTTGAGCTGCAACTGTTGCTGTCTGTGGAGTGCATTCGATCTTGCAAAAAGCTGTGGAGGTACGTGAGGGTACATGTGAGGCAGCAGTACCTGCAGTTCCACTTTTCCCTTAAAAATGGCACACACATGCAAAAAGAAAATTAATTCTGCAGCTACTGAAAGACATGCTAGGTTCTTCTTCCCTGTCAAAGGCAGATTATGAGCAGATGTAATTAAGATTGCTACATCCTACAGCCCGGAATTACTTACTGAACATGAGCCAGCAGTATGCCAGGTGGCTGTCCTGGTTTCAGCCAGGATAGAGTTAAGGCCAACAGCATCCTGGCCTGTATCAGAAACAGTGTGGCCAGCAGGGAAGTGATTGTGCCCTTGGATTCAGCCCTGGTGAGGCTGCACCTCGAATATTGTGTTCAGTTTTGGGCCCCTCACTACAAGAAGGACGTTGAGGTGCTGGAGTGTGTCCAGAGAAGGGCAACAAAGCTGGTGAGGGGTCTGGAGAACAAGTCTTCTGAGGAGTGGCTGAGGGAACTGGGGTTGTTTAGTCTGGAGAAGACGAGGCTGAGGGGAGACCTTATCGCTCTCTACAACTACCTGAAAGGGGGTTGTGGCAATGTCGGTGTCGATCTCTTGTGCCAAGTTACTAGCGATAGAATGAAAGGAAATGGCCTCAAGTTGCACCAGGGGAGGTTCGGATTGGATGTTGGGAAAAACTTCTCCACCTAAAGGGTGGTCAAGCATTGGAACAGACTGCCCAGGGAAGTGGTGGAGTCACCATCTCTGGAGGTGTTCAAAAAACGTGTGGATGTGGCACTTCAGGACATGGTTTAGTAAGCTTGGTGGTGTTGGGTTGACAGTTGGACTGGATGATTTTCAATTTCCAGTCACTGCAGTATTTTAGACTCAGACCTACACTAATGGCTATGTTTTCTATGCAAGTATTTACTTCGCTTAGTTGTCACACATAACCTTTTCTTTAATTGGATAAACTATTGGAACTCCTTATACTCTTAAGTTTGGGGTTATGTATCACGGTTAATAGGCTGGTTTTGTTTTAGTGTTTGTGTGACTTTTCTTAATAGTATTCTGCCAGCCGGGATTATTTTTACATTAGTGTATTTTAAATACAGATCAATAAATGTTAGTACATGTGGCAAGGAGTGGAAGAGAGAAATAATACAGCCGTTTTGCTAGAATGAAGTCCAACATATATATTCCCATGAGGGGAGCACTGCCTTTATAACACACAAGTCTTTGTAAACCACTAAACTGACAACACTCGTATAAGCAGAAGCCTAGCTAAGCTCTTGTGAATACCATGTGTGCCACTGATGTCAGTTGTTTATTCCTATCTGCGATTCTGTTAGACTTTCTTGCCTAAAGAAAGTCAAGACTCAAATAAATAATTAAAAACAAGAGTTGTTTTGTTACTCTTGACTTTGGAAACAGCAAACAGAAATTAGGGGTTTTTTTTCTCCCTCTTTTCTTGAAGGCAGAGTTTTTAAGAGTCTGCACTAGGAATAAAGAAAACACACATTAAGTGGAAGTTCTCACCTCTGCCTCCCCTACATCGATAGTGATTGAATATTCGAGCCGTGGGGGCAGAGCTCCATCAGCGTTTCTCAGGTAGTGCTGCACGCTGGGCACAGCATCCTCATGCAGATTTATTTCACCTTTTTTGGGAAACATTGAAAGGAGCATTTCCACTTCCTGCAGCTGGAGCTCCAGGCACCCTTGTACTGTGGCTGCCATTGCACTGCCCTCCACACACACCTGGAACGAGAGGCCTGGAGTCAAACCCCGGGGTTTAAGCCAGAGCGAGGCGCTGCACCACGCCGTGCAACCAAACAAGCCGGCCTCCGCC